AAAACAAGAAGCATCAAAACTGATAAACTACATCTGAATGAGAATACCTGTCTCAAGAATAGAGAGACGGGGTGAACCAGAAAACTGATGTTTTGTGGCTACCCGTGAACTACAAACAATCACAACCCTCCCAAAAAGAACCAATTCACAGTTTGGGTTTTGGGTATATGCCTGGGGGAAGCGGGGACCGATTGCCCCCTTCCCATTACCCCTGCTGCCTCCCGACCTGTTCCCTGGAAGGGAAGCCAGCCTGCTGTCTCTGAGGATGGTGGCGGGGGCAGGAACAGGTCAGAAAGCAGGCGACAGGGTCAGTGGGAAGAGGGCGAGCGGGCAGATTTTTGTTTTGGCAAAACAGGATCCCTGAACTTGGGTCGCGGGACTGAACCTTGAAACCGCCCAGTTTGTCAGTTTTTCTGGTCCGTCGTTCGGTTCTTGCCCATCTCTACTCTAGAATGGTTGCTCTCGTTTGTAAAGAAAATTACATCCTCACTAAAAGAACTCTGTAGAACATCCTGCTTTCCCCTGATACAAATCTCTCAATGCAATCGTATCTTAGAAGTCTGCCTCCCCACCAAACTCAGAGAGGCTTGCACTGATTTAGGATTGCCACCTCCATGTGACACTCTTCCCACACTATGGGCGAGTTGTGCCTGTCGATCAGCTGCCAGATCTTTCTTTTATAGATGTTAACCCACCGTTAATGACTTGATGTCATTGGTACGTCATGTGGGTCTTACTTTATCTGAACTCCTAAATGAAGGGGTTATTCAACCTCTTTATAAATGTAGGAGTAGAATCTTGTTACAGCACATTGAGAAGGATAGCTAATAGCTCAAGGAACAGAATCAAAATTCAAGATGGCCTTATCCAGTTGGAGAACTGGGTTAGAACCAACAGAATCGGCTTCCACTGGGATCCATATAAAGGTCTGCAGTTAGGCAAGTAAAATCAGGTGTGCAGATGCAGGATGGGGAACATCTGGACTGGGAGCAATAGGTGCGAAAAAGTAAGACTTGGTTATTTGGGCAGGCTTTCCCTCCTCCTGTATCTTAAATTCACATGTTAACATCTTGGATTTATTGCATGTTTATTGGTTTTACTGTTTTTAAATTTGTAATGCCGCCCAGAGTAGACCATTGGTCTATATGGGCGGGGTATAGATCTAATAAAATAAATAAAAAATCAATAAAATAAATGTTTGTCAACAGAACAAAACAGAAGCAAAAACAAGACAAACCTGCCTTGTACAAGGCTTTGGAACTGTGCCGTCCGGAGCTTTAGAGAGGAAGGGGAGAATACAGATGGGATCAGCAGCTGGAAACATTACTTTTTTGGACTGCCGCTCCCAGAATCCCCTAGGCATCATGATGTGCTTTCTGGGGCTTATGATCCCAAAATGTAACTTTTCCAAATGGTGAATATATTACAGGGCATGGGGCTTACACTGAGGTGTGTCTCAAGCCCGGTCCGGCCACGTCCTGTTTGTTTCTCTGCTCATGTAACCAAATTCCACATCCGTGTATACTCTTTTTTTTTAATTAATATTTTAAAGAAAAATCCTTCAGTCTGAGACACAGAGGCTGGCGTCGCATTGTGAGCAGTGGGATGGGACAGCAGAAACGGACATCCCGGAAGATGGTGAGAGAAGGAAAGGGGGGGAGGTGGCGTGAAATTGGGGTCGTTCAGCACTGCCATTTCTGGCCATTTGCTCTACTTTATCGGCCAGATATCTCTCTGGCTGTGACTCCTTCTAGCAAAACGCATGGGTTTTAACGGATGTAGCAACTTTTGCAACCTCACACACCTAATCCAAGTATGCGCTTCTTCAGCTAAAGACCTCGTCCGCACAACCATCGGGCAAACCCGGCTACTGATAGCTGAGAGGTTCAAGCAGTTTGAAGGGCTGGTGGATAACTGCGAGTTCAAACGCGGTGAAAAGGAGACAACCTGTACCGACCTGGATGGATTTTGGGATATGGTCAACTTCCAGGTAAGGATTCTTTCTCTCCAGCATTTGCTTTCTTTCCATATGTGCCAGGAAATATGCCATATAGGTAACCCCTCTGGGAAACATCACATTTATGGGAAAAGCAGTAAGATGAGAAAGGTGTGGGTTCTCTGGTCCTGGGAATGGATTGTGGTTCAGCTTCTGCCCATAGGTCCTCTTTGGCGTTTGAGATCTTTCCAGGCCGCCCAGAAGCCACTGGTAATGGTGCCTTCTGCCCATAGGTCCTCTTTGGCTTTTGAGATCTTTCCGGGCTAAACTCAAGCTCGTCTTGGTTTGCCACTAGAGATAGACATGGGTCAAGCTTGTCTTGGTTTGCCACTAGAGATAGACATGGAACTCCCGATTTGTGCCAGTTTGTTTAGCAAGCAAACAGGTGTTTGAAGTTTCCCTTCCCCGCCTCTGCCCGTGGGCACCCACTTGGAGTTTTCCTTCCCCGCCTCTGCCCGTGGGCACCCACTCGAGAGGCAGTGCACAGAGGAGGCAGGGCAGGGAAGCCAGGCCACTGCCTCCAAGTGGGCGGCTGCCAGCGGAGGCGTGGCTGCGAAGCGCCAAACACCCATTTGGCCACTGGACGAATCAGCACAAACTGCTGAACCCGTGATTTGTGCCCATCTATACTTACCACGCAACCTAAAAGTCTGGTTTCTTAAAACCTGGGGTTCTCTGGACAGCAAATTGGACACCCATAGGTACTTACCACGCAACCTAAAAGTTTGGTTTCTTAGAACAAAACCTGGGATTCTCTGGACAGCAAATTGGACACCCATAGTGAAATTCTCCAGTTTGCACCACAGCCTTTGTGGTTTCCTGCTGGCGTGTTTTGTTTTGTCCCCCCCCCCTCCAGCTGAGTCCTCCATTGCACAAGCATGCAGAAGTGAACTTTGAGGCTTTTGGTCTTGTCTGTGAAGAATGCAGCCATCTCGCGAATTTTAAACAGTGGTGCGCTTTGGCCGAGCCCTGTCGCTGTTTCTCTTTTTTTCCATAGATAGAAGATGTGAATAAAAAATTTGAGAACTTGAAGACGCTTCAGGTGAATGGATGGCAAGCAGTGGAGGATGTCCAGTCCAAAAAGCCTTCCAAGGTGGGAGAGGGTTCTAAGTCGTCCTCCATGGCCCATTTCTGAGGTTCTCTTATAGAGCGGTTAAACAGAAAGCCGACTTAGGATTCCGTTCCTTCCTTCCTTTGGGAACGGAGCCCGTGTCATTCCAGCGGTGGCCACTCAGGGGCGCTGCATCCGTTATGTTGGTGCAGTTGGCTCTTTCCCAAGCCGGTCTTTGCAAAAGCATCGACCCCTGTCGAGAGGGAATAATTTATCCTTTTTAAAAAATTTACTACGATAACACACTTCCAACGTTGGAGCTGTGGGGTGGGGGGCAGATCTGGTTTCTGACTTTCCCTGACTCAATGTCTTTTCCTGGGTTTGTTCTCATTCTAGCCACTCGGAAGAGGCTTCTAATAAAAAGCAGGGTCTCCGTTGTTACGTTTAATCTTCGCAAGGGAAAGTTTTTGCCTTGTTTCATTCCGTCACAAGGCAAAAGTGGGTCTAATCAACCAAGTTGCTAGACCTCCAGGCAGATAGATAGCCAGTAGCCTTTCTGGGGCATTCTGGGAACGGAAGTCTAAAGAAGTCACTTTTCTGCCCTCTGTTCCACTCCCCAGCCCCTGATGACATGGCTACGAGAGGGTGGGATTTTATAGTTTTGGCCACCCAAGCGTCTTTGAGCTTGTCTCGTTTCCTCGGTAATTTCCTACCTGGGAGAGGTGGGGTTTGGGAATCACAAGAGCTACTTTTTCAAACTTTTGATTCGACACCCATCGGAGAAGGACCTATGCTGTACTTCCTGAGTGTTCGAAGCACATCCCATAAACTTGGGAAAACCTGTTAAATCGTCCCAGGCTCAACTTTGCTGTGAAGATGGCTGAGCTGAAAGGAGGGGGGCTTTCCCAGCTGTTTCCCTGAAATAAAGTATTTTATTTTATTTATTTCCAGAAAAAGGGCCCTCCTCCTTTTCCCAGGGCAACGAAGGCAAGGTGTGGGTCTGCCGAAAGGAAAGCAGCCCGTAAGCGCCTGGCCGCCATCAAGGCGGCGGTGAAGAGCAAGATGAAGCCGGAGGGGCCAATAGCAGAGGTTTCAGAACCGGAAAGGCCGGCCTCCGCAGAGACCTTGGTCTTCGACGGAGGGTTCTTCCAAATCGAATCTCCTGCCAAGCCTTTGCCAGGTTGGTCTGGACCTTCTTCTCTTTGAGCCTGAGTTTGTCCTGCGAGTCGAAAAGACTTCTCAGCTTTGGAAAACCCAGTTTTGTTGGTCTTTTACGACTCCTTTTAATCGTCAGAAGCTCGGGGACCCACAGAGCACAGAGAAGGTCCGTTCCTGGATCTCATCTCACAGAATCCCCTATTTTGGCCCCGTTGGGTGGGAGACACGAGAGCTCTAATCCAAAGAAGTAACGCTAGGAAGCAGTCAGAGAAGAACAAAGGAAACTTCCAAGTGTGAACCACCCTTAACCTTTCAGAAAGGACCAAGGGCTTCTTCTGTTCTGGACCCCATTCCCACCCGCCCCAGTGGGAATCCAGGTGTTCTGGAGGGCAACCTGAACAGCCTCCACCAACCACGCTCAAGGGTGCAGCATCTTGGGGGGGGGGCTGAAGTCTAAACCAGTAGTTGGGGAAGAGGGTTGTAGAGTCTGAAATGGTTTTGCAGCTGCTGGAGAAGAGTCCCGACGTTGCCTTTGCCCAGCCGTGCCTGAGCCTGCCAAACGATGGATTTTCGCAAAGGGGGTGCTTTCCCTGGGAAGGACCTACCTGCTCCAGGACTCTGCCAGTTCCAGCCTCGCTGGAAAGAAGTCCTCCCTCAAAAGTGGAAGGAGTAGAGAGATGGGCACCAACCGGGTTGGTTTGTGGTTCGGTTCACGCGACCCATTTTGCCCAAACAAAATGGAGCACTCAACTTTTTTTCTGCTCTGTTCTTTGCTTTGCTTTAGCAGAACAGATGCCTGCTTTCCCGCTGTTCTCTGCAACCGCCACCTCCCTGCCTGGCCCGACCTCCTCCTCTGCCCCCAGAGAAAGCGGGCCAGCATCCCTTCCAGGAGCTGAGCCGCCTGTCTCTGCCCATAGGCATGCACAGAGGCAGCTGTGCCCAGCTCCTGGCAGGGAAGCCGGGCTGCCCTCTTTGAAGATGGTAGAGGATGAGCCAAGACCAAGGGCACGGGGGGTGATGGGGGGGCAGGATCCCCTCCAACCAGGAGCAAACTGGGAAAACAAACCTATGAACTGATTCATTTTTCTGGGAGTTCATGTGAGGGGTTGTGGGTGGTAGCCACAAACCAGAACCCATCATGGAACGACCAGTTTTCCACTTTGTGCCCATTTCTACTGTAAAGGCTGAACGTGGCATCTGCTCGTGGACTTGGTAACTGGTGAAGGTTTTGGGACTAGAGCTGCTTCACTTTGTAGCTCCTTGAAGTTTTTAGACCATTTCCAAGGCCAGCGACTTCTAGGGATCATTTTTCAGCCCTCCCCGGAAGAGGGTAGTCGTAGAGAGCCTTGTCTTTCATGAATTTGTATCATGAATTTTTGAAGCCATCCACACAACACCAACATCAGCTGCTCCCCCTCGGTCAGAAGGCAGCCCAGCAGGGATGGATCTCTTCATTCTGACCTCGTGATGTTTAGCACAAGCTTTAAATACTCCTCACCCCCCACACCTCCACGGCAGTCCAAAGAGATTTAGCACAGAACCTGATTCATTTGCAGTCTGGGAAATCAGGCCTTAGTGGCCTGCCCTCTGCCTCAGGAAGTGCCCGAGGTAAACCATGTCTAGATATTTTTAGGGGCCCATGTTTCCTTTTGACCGTTGCCAACCATTTCCAATGCTTCCTCTCTAGGTTGGACTCCTAGATCGTCCAGCAGGCCTTCCAGGCGGGCCACCCCGAGGTCTGTCACCCGGGCCCTGCTTCAGAGTTGCGCAGATACTTGTGTTGTCCGGCACGGCACCCTGACACCATCATTGCCAGGTCTGAATGGATCCGTGGGTCCTCGGGCAAGGGACCTCCTCGAACACAGGTAGGTGATCCTCACTGACTTGAACTGTTTGTCTGGTGCTTAAAGGACCGTCAGTGTCGGAGGAAGTGGTTTTTTCCTCTGTTCCCTTGTCTGCGTGTGGCCCATGGCATAAGAACCGTCCTATAGCATTTAAGGTCCTCAAAGGACGCTCTTCTCTTGGCCCCGTTGCCAGCGCAGGCACCACGTCGGATGGGGCCACGGGGGAGGGCCTTCTCAGTGGCAGCTCCCAGGTGATGGGATGATCTCCCTCGGGAGATCCGGCTGGCTCCCCCCCTCTCCCTTTGATCCTTCCGCTGACAACTAAAGACCCATCTCTCCAGGCAGGCTTTTCACCATCATGATTGAGTCCCTGATACCTCGCTTTTAATTATCTAATTGTATTTTAATCTGCTTATCATTCAATAGTTTTTTATTGTTACATTATTATGTTTTTAATTCTGTTCTTTTTAATATTGTGAGCTGCCTTGAGTTCCCTTTTTGGGAGAAAGGCAGCTTATAAATAAAATAAAGAAATAAAAACAAATAAATTTCCAAGACAGACCAAGGATCCGTCTGGTTTAAACCTTATGTTTGTCAGAGCAGCCAGAGAGGAGTCTTTTAAGTGCTCCCATCCAGGGCAGAAAAGTTGTGGCTTATCCTCAGCTTATTCTCAGAATCTAACATGTAAAATATTCTGCCTGTTCATGCATAAATTCCCATTTGTTCCTCAATAGAAGTCTTTGCTGGGGTTTTTTTATGCATCCCGAGCCAGAAACCACTATAACATGTGGTAGTTGGGTAGTTTCAGTTCATGACAACAGTACAGTGGTGCCTCACTTGATGACGTTAATTCGTTCCAGCGAAATCGCTGTAGAGCGAAAACGTCATCAAGCGAAATAAAAAAGCCCATTGAAATGCATTGGAAACCATTCAATGTGTTCCAGTGGGCTGAATAACTCACCGTCCAGCAAAGATCCTCCATAGGGCAGCCATTTTTGGATGCCTGTGCAGTGAAAAATGCCTCTTAAAAACATTGCAGAAACATCGATGTGAAGCGGATTCGTCGTTATACGGGGTAATCGTTAAGCGGGGCACGACTGTAGCTAATTTCTTTGGGCTAGCCTTAAAAATAGGGAAATGGTACCAAATGATGATTTAAAAATAAAGTTTAAGTGATAACAAGCAATTGTTGTGTTAGAAAAAAAAACTCACAATGTTAAATCAGAGAGAAAACATCACCCTAAGAATGCAGCAAAGTGCCTTGCACTGAATTGGCTCGGCTTGGTCCTTCTAGACCAGTAGTTCTGAATCCTGGATCCCCGGATGTCCTTGGACTGCAACTCCCAGAAGCCCTTGCCAGCGCAGCTAGTGGTGAAAAGGCTTCTGGCCATTGCAGTCCAAGAACATCCAGGGACCCTAAAGTTGGGAGCCACTGTTCTAGACCCACGTGGCCGGCTCTGACTGGCCGCCATGGTTGGGGGCAGGCATTTCTTCAGCCCTTCCCAGAGATGGTGGGGATCAAACTAGGGACTTTGTGAAAGCAAGTTACGGCTTTGCCATAACTGCTCTTCTGACATTATAACAACAACAAAAAAAGATGGCAATCATCCCGGTGCATGTGGTTGGAGGGGTGGATTCCAAGGGCTAGCTTCCGGATCGCCCCAAACCAAAGCGTGGGCACTCTGGGATCTCTAGTGAGCCAACAGCTCAGGCGAAAGGGTTTTTCAGCTGTGGGAGCAACGTGGGTTCTGCTTTTTGCCGTACAGTCGTGCCCCGCTTAACAACAAATCCGCTTTACGACTATCTTTTTGCGATCGCAAAGCGATGTTTTAAATGGGGTATTTTCACTTTGCGAAGATTGGGTCCCTGCTTCAGGAACCGATTCTTTGCAAAACAGCTGATTGTCGGGTTTTCAAAATGGCCGCCGGGTGCTCAAAATAACTCCCCGCTGTGCTTAAGGACAGATTCCTCACTATACAGGCACCGAAAATGGCCGCTGTATGGGGGATCTTCGCTGGGCGGTGAGTTTTTGCAGTACAGATAGAAAGCTAATTTAGCTTGTGCCATAAAATGATTGAATAGGAATTGTCGTATAATTCGCACAACCTTGTCCTCCCATCTCCATTCCTCCGGTGATCCTGCTTGGGCTGATTTCCATTGGTTTAATCTGTTCAGCCATTCATTGATCACTTCTTGCAAGGCCTGTCACGTTTTCTGTTTTCTTCCAGCCCTAAGAAGGGTGTTGCGAGCGCCCTGATGCCGGTTTTAATTGGCCCAGCAGAGAGCTGCTTGTTATTTTTTTATGTTGCCTTTCCCTATTGGTCTGTTGTATCTTTGTGCTAATTTGTGGTTCGTTCTTGTGACGGTTCATGTAACGTCGTGGGTATTGGTTAAGGGAAAAAGTTTGGGGTGACCTTGTCTAGCCTTTCCCCCTTGTCTCTTTCACACACACCTTCCCTAAGATAAATGTAAAATCATCGTCATCATGCGCCATCAAGTCAACGCTGACATATGGCAACCCTTTTTGAGGGTTTTCCAGGTAGAGAACATTCAAAAGGGCTTTACCCTTCTCTTCTTCTGGGGGCATCCTCGGGACGGTGCAGCTGGCCCAAGGCGACCCAGGAGGCACAAGTGGGGGAATTGAACCCCCACCCTCTGGCACTGCAGCTAGATAACCTCAACCACTGAGCTATCCATCCGGCTTAAATGCGAAAAGTTTAAAATCAAACCTTCCACATTTGCCCATTGCTGTCTTTCCTCTTTTTTTTCTCCAGTGACATCCAAGCTGCGAAGGAACCAGGTCTGGCAACAGAAGGCAGAGGAGAAGAAGCTATTGTGAGTAGTGTTTTAATGGTATGTGTAATTGTCCTTAAAAGGATGATTTTATAGCATGAGCATGAAGCAGTGGGCACATTTGGGTTTTCGAACAGCGCAGTTGAAATCCAGTTGGAGCAGGTCAGAAATACCATATTTTTCCGTGTATAAGACTATTGTCTAAAATCTTTAGACTAAAAATGGAGAGTCATCCTACACACGGAAGTAAGCTGAGGAGGGAACAAAAACAAGTGGAGGGGAAAGCAGGGATCAAAGCGATTCTGCAGCGCTTTGATCCCTTTCCCCCTACACTTGCTAAGCCCCACTCAGATTTCTTAATTTTGGATTTAAAAAGTGGGGGGGGGCGTCTTATACATGGAGGTGTCTTATACACAGAAAAATACAGTACTCCATCTGGCTAAAACCTGGATAAAGTTTTATTTTTCCCCAAACAGCAGTTTAGCTGTCTTTGGATTCAGTGAATCTTTAGCCCTGGGCGCCATTTTCCTATCCTAGACCACATAGCTTGTTCCCCCTCCCCCTTTACGCTGTTTGATCTCTTTGTCTCTTCTCTTTCGAACCCCCAGGAGACCCAGAGAGCCACCGGCGACAGCAGGCCCTGTTCAGCCAATGCAGAGCGCTTGGGCTCAGCCAGTTTTCAAGGGCTGGAAAGTCCCTCTGTTTTAAATGAAGCCCCAGAAACGATGGGAGAAGTTGGAAGTCCTCTGGAAAATTTGATTGAGAACCACATCCTGTACGGTCCGGAAAAAGGGTCCCAGATGGAAGGAGTTGATTCTTGGACTGAGGAACAGCACCCTCTCGAAGGTGAGTTGAAACTAGGAGATTTCTTTATTGTGAAGAATCTCTTTGGAGCTGAAAACATTCTCTTATTTTCGAACTGCGTGTTTTTAGATTCCCCCTTCCCCCCCCCAAGTGCCACAGCTTTATGTTTCTTGGGAGAGATAGATATATGTATTTACCCCTTTTGATGCACTGTTGTGTCCCATCTTCAACACATGCTTGTCATTCGTGAGGCTTCGGTTGTTCCTATTAGGATGTGCAACTCTCAAAGCGCTGCGAATGCCAGGTCCCTTCACCTCCATTCATTTCAGCAGGAAGCTATTATTTGCCCGGTGATCTAACATGTGACTCAGCCCTGCATTAAAATAAACGTCTTCCTTTTCCAGGCCCTCTTCTTGAGGACTTTTCCAGTGGCGTCGCCTGTGATGATGGAGATACTGATTGCCAGGTAACGTGTTCTTGCAGCCGAGTCCACCGGATTGAAACCCAACGGTTGGCATTTATAATGTTTTTCCAATGACTGGCCGAATTCGATAATAAGGGGAGAAGATCCTGGATCGCCCCCACAACCAGTCTGGGGAGTTTGGTAAAAGAAGCCATTCAAGCAGGCGGTTTCGAATTTAGATCCAAGAAAACCAGTGAGAAAAACAACTGTGTGGCTTTTAAAAAAAAGCTTAATTCTGTTCAAGCTGAAATGAAGGACGTTTGAACAATTATATATTTAAAAGTGATTGAGGTCTAGGACCTCAGACATGTTGAAAGTAGATCTTGGCTGGACTTGCCAATGAACATTTAAGATGCAAATTGATTTTTAACAATCTTTTATTACATATTCTGCTTCCAGAATACAAGTTTTCTATTTAGACAATGTGTTTTCCCTGAAGTAATGCAGGTGAGATGTCCAGGATAAAGGGAGGTTTGTGGGTTAGGGGGCCCAGTGCCAAGAGCATAAGAAGAGCCCTGCTGGGTGAGGCCGAGGGCCCCTCTCATCCAGCTCCCTGTATCTCACGGTGGCCCCACCAGATGTCTCTGGGAGCACATTAGACAATGAGATCTGTCTCCTGGTACCCCTCCCCTGCATCTGGCATTTGGAGGTCCCTTTCTTCTAAGCCTGGAGATTATACATCCCCATCAGGACTTGTCACCTGCGATGGACTTTTCTTCCAGGAATCTGTCACAACCCCTTTTTAAAGGCTAGGCCAGGTGCCATCACCACATCCTGTGGCAAGGAGTTCCACAGACTAACAACACGCTGGGTCAAGAAATCTTTTCTTTTGGTTTGTTCTCACTCACTGCCCATTGACCCTCACTGTCCGTTTCCTGGTTCTCCACCAATCCATCAGAGGACCTGCCGTGTGATCCCCTGACGGTGGAGTTTTCTCAGCAGCTTTTGGTGGAGAAAGTAACTTCTTTCAACCATCAGTGATTAAATGCTGAGGAATTCTGGAAACGCTAGTGGGGGAAAAACCCAACCTTCCTAAGCACTGGGATGGTGCCAGTTGCATGGAGGAACACAAGCTTGGTGTAGTGGGGATGCCCTCGCTCCAGGAATAGGTTCACCGAAGAGCATGTATGAATCTTTTTGTGCCAAAATCTTCAAGTACGATACATCTGCTTCTAAGCCCTGTGCATCAATGAGGTCCAGAAACTAGTTTTCCTCTCTTTGCTGAACAACAACAAAATGCGGATGCTCAAAATATAAGGTTTAAAGTGAAGCTGCAGTCGTGCCTCCCTGATGATAATGCCTCGCAAAGCAAGGTACCTCTTACCAAAGATTTTGCCCAGCTTGAAAAATAAGTAAGACTTAATGGGATGTGCTCCTTCACATTCAGTTGCCGGAAAAGTTGACAGGGACTAGATCTCTCTAAAGCAATTGTCTGCCACCGGGAGAGCTGGGCGCTCCAATGTGATTTCATGTGACTGCTTTGCCACCTTTAAAGGGTCTCCAACGTGACCGTTCAGTAAACTAAGTGGGGGGCTGTTGTTGTTTTTTTGCTCAAGAACTGACCTCAGCTAATTTGTTCCCCACAGCCAAACCCAGATGCCAGCCTTCTCTTCACCCCGCTCCGGAGCAAAGCCGAGAATCACGTGGGAGCCACTGTGTGCGATGACCTTATTGCGTTTTCTCCCCTTTCACTCCCGGGAGGAGGAAAGGAATACGATGGATTAATCCAGAGTTAATACTGGAGGTGTACGAAGCTTGAGAAAGATGACATCCACACACTGAAGGAATTGGAGAAAAGGCTTTCTATTCGCTTTTTATGGATTTTTTGTTCCATTACATCTTTTTAGCTTAGTTTCTCAGAGATGGGGGCGGGGCGTCTGCTGGAAAACAGACCTCATTTCTGTGTTGTAGGATGTAAGTGCTAAAGTTCTTCTGTGGCCTATATTTTTAACTTTCTGTATTTAGTTATATTGTTTATAAAGAAGTTCCCTCTGAATGGGCTTGACTGCACCTATAGGTGAAACGTTTCAGGTTCCCAAAATTTGTAAATAAAGGTCATCAGTTGGCCAGGAGGGTTTGTGTGTGTGTGTAAGAAAAAAAAACTTTTAATACTTTGACAGATGTTGTCTTTAAAAATGGTCCAGATACCTTAATCTTATTACTCAAATATGATTTACTCCAATATTTGATGGAAATATTAAACTTACATTAAAAGGTTTTGTCTCATGCATGTCTGCTTCTCAGTCTATCTCTCTGGGTTAACATATTTTTCCCCAGCCAAGAGGGACAGGTTTTAAATTGGAAAATTTAAATTATTTGTTTAAGCCAACAAGTGGCAGGGGGGAAGGCCTTTCATTGTCCTTTGGTCAGCATGGAGTTTGGGAGCCCCGTCTACCTATTCCCGTAGCTACAAAAGATATACTTTTCGCTCCATAAGACGCACTCCCCCCCCCAAAAAAGTGGGGGGGATTGTGTGTCTCTTCTGGAGCAAATGGTGCAATTTGTTAATTACACAGTGAGTGTTTGGTTCCCTCTAATGGTCAGTTTGATAATTACACCTTTTTTACAACGCTGATCTGGAAGGATGCTGCCTCAAGCTGCTGGGACTAGGCAAAATGGTGGTGGCTTAACAAGCAACCCCCCCAGAGCCCATGCCACTGTCATACGTGGCTGGGCTCTGTACTCATTAGTAACGCTGGTACTACAGGGCATCCGTAGCAGCCCTGTAGGACCAGTGCCGCTTACTGGACAGCCGGATCACGTGACCAGCCAGACACCAGGGAAGCAGAGAGAGAGAGAGGAGAGTGCCGCGGAGGAAGGGAGAAGACTCGTCCAGGTACACAGAAACTGTAATACAGAGGAATTACTGGCTGGTGACATTAAGGGGCACATATGAATGGCAGTATCAATTAAGGGGCACAATATGGATGACAATATAAAAATTAGGTGCGTCTTATGGTCAGGTGCATCCTTAGAGTCTACAAATCAGATCTAGTCAACTCCAGCTTCTGAGAATTCACTGCTAATGTCTCACACCTTTTGGGGCCTATATTTTGCAATTAGAGAAGCCTGCATTTTAAAAAAATAGGGTGGGGGGGGATAAAAATTCTAAACAGTGTGCTTGCAAAAGAAGCAAGATCTTGGAAATGTTACTTTCAATCCTAAAATTCCCAGCATCCCCTAGCTGTATGACTAAAGAACTGTAGTCGAAAGAGTAAATTTTGCCGAGGTGTGCAAAAGGCCAGCCTGCATAACCACATGCAGAAGTGATGTAAGATGACCCCCAACCATTGTGGAACTGGTTCTACATTTTATTAAGTCTTTGGATTACAAAGTCAACCAAATATTTGCATTACAAAGTTAGCTAAGAGTTTTGCAAGGGGAAAATAAAGCTTCTGTTTTTTTAAAAAAACAGACGGGATTTTCAAGTGCAAAGAGGTCAAAAGCTTTGCTTTAGATCATAGTAGGTGTGACACTCTCGAGGGTGACATCGCCAGCAATGGAAAGCTTGTTGATCTGGTTCAGCTCCTTGATGCGGTAGTTGTACTGCAGGAGGTGGTCATTGTTGACCGCTATCTTGAAATGATCCCCGTCGCACAGAACCTGGATCTGCAAAAAAAATATAAAAATTATATATGAACCAAACATTTACTGATCCATTCAGCCCTCCTTGCTTCTAGAGAGCATGCAAGCTTGATCTGATCTAGCACCCATTTATACATGCAATACTAAGTCCTTAAGATCCCATGGAAGTATGTTCTTCCCAGCCCCCCCCCCGGCCCTAGTCAGTGTCTTTGGAGTACATTACGCAGCCTTGTGTGAAAAAATAACCACAAGGTGAGAGAATCTGATGCTCTTTTGAGCACAGTTATAACCACAGGACAGTGTATGACAAGGGGGTGTTTACTTGTAGGCACATTTACTTCAGATCTAATGTGGGATGAAAGACAGCCCTTCAGCCCAGCTTGTACCAGCTTGTTACTGGGGGTCGCAAAACAGAGCCCAGAGTGAATTTTCGTAAAACAACCATAAAACTAGACTACTTTCGGAAAGCACAAGAGAGATCAAAAACAACACGGATAGCAGACCGACGAAGAATTGGTGCTTTTGAACTGTGGTGCTGGAGGAGGCTCTTGAGAGTCCCCTGGACTGCAAGGAGAACAAACCTATCCATTCTGAAGGAAATCAACCCTGAGTGCTCCCTGGAAGGACAGATCCTGAAGCTGAGGGTCCAATACTTTGGCCATCTCATGGGAAGAGAAGCCTCCTTGGAAAAGACCTTGGTGTTAGGAAAGTGTGAAGGCAAGAGGAGAAGGGGACGACCGAGGATGAGATGGCTGGACAGTGTCATTGAAGCGACCAACATGAATTTGACACAACTACGGGAAGCAGTGGAAGATAGGAGGGCCTGGCGTGCTCTGGTCCATGGGGTCACGAAGAGTCGGACATGACTAAACAGCTAAATGACGACGACGATGTCTACGAAAAGTTTCTCAACCAAAATTAAGCTATGGTTCTTTTTATACTTCTAAATGAAGTTACCCAGAGTGCACGCTGCTTATCACCGGAGTATGTAACGGATAAACAACAGTAACTACAAGATCCTGAAGCTGAGGCTCCAAGATTTTGGCCATCTCATGGGAAGAGATGACTCCCTGGATAAGACCCTGATGTTGGGAAAGTGTGAAGGCAAGAGGAGAAGGGGACGACAGAGGATGAGATGGTTGGACAGGGTCATTGAAGCGACCAACATGAATCTGACCCAACTCTGGGAGGCAGCGGAAGACAGGAGGGCCTGGCGTGCTCTGGTCCATGGGGTCACGAAGAGTCGGACACGACTTAACAACTAAACAACAATAAGGACCGTTTCTCAGTTCAACAAATGTATTTAAACTCGGCAGAGGGAGTGTTGCCCAGAGTTTGCATTGATGTATCCTTTCTAACTGGAGAGGTAACAGATAAAGCAACATTACCAAAGGAAAATGGGTGTAGGGTTGATCAACTGGAACTGCACCCAAGTCAAAGGAGTCACCCACCTGCCCCGTGCTGAACAGTGTCAAAAACGGGTGGGTGACGCAGGACCTAGATTTCTATATATGGAATGCTTCCCAGAGAGAGGGGGGGTGGCCGTTGTGAGAAACATACAGCCAGAGCAGAAAATCCTTTTCAAATCTTTCTTGCAACAAATACCACCATCAAAAAGTTGGAACAAATTCACCAGTTGTTTTTAAACTCCAGGGGGATCTTAATAGATAGTTCATACAAATTGCCTCAATTTCGTAAGTACAACCGAAAAAGAAATAGGTAGGTTTTAATAAAAGACAGCGAAAAGGAAACTGGGTTTTAAATATCTAAATCAGGAGTGTACAAGTTGTTGGATGGAGGGATATACATATTTACAGTATTTATTTATTTTGGTCGTGACCATAAACACAATAGGTAGGTAGGTAGACAGGCGGTGGAACGTGGTGGCGCTGCAGATTAAACCACAGAAGCCCCTCTTGTGCTCTGCAAGGTCAGAATACCTACCATCGTAAGATTGAATCCACATGATGGAGGGAGCTTGTCCCAGCTCCCGCCAACCTAGCCGTTCGAAAACATGCAAAACGCAAAAATGCGAGTAGATAAATAGGTACCACCTCGTTGGGAAGGTCATGGCATTCCGTGTCTAATCGTGCTGGCCACATGACCAGAGAAACTGTCTACGGACAAATGCTGGCTCTATGGATTGGAAATGGGGATGAGTACCACGCCCTAGAATCAGACACGACTGGACTCGAGGTCAAGGGGAACCTTTACCTTAGGTAGACAGGCAGGTAGGTATGCGTGCATTTGCCCATAACGTCCGTCAACACACACCAACATAGCCTATGGCAACATGTTACGGGGGCTAACATGCTGAATTATTTCAGTCTTTCCTCCTGATCATCCAGAGAAGGACAACAAGGATGATCAAGGGGCTAGCCCTAGGAAGAAAGACTGAAGGAACTGGGCAGGTTTAGCCTTGAGAAAAAGAAGGCTGAGGGGAGACAGGACTGCACTTTTCAAATACCTGAAAGGTAGTCATACGGGGGAGGGGCAGGATATGTTCTCATTCATTCATTTATTCGATTGATTTATCTACCACCCATCTGGCAGACAGGGCCACTCGATCATCCCAGAGTGCAGGACACGCAACCATGGGCTCAAGGGACAGGAAGCCAGATTTTGCTTGAATATGAGGAAAAACTTCCTAACTGTTAGAGCAGTATGACAGTGGGACCCGTGACTTTGGGCACTCCAACGCTGGAAGCATTCAAGAGAAACCTAGACAACCACCTGGCAGATCTCCTTTGCTATGTATTCCTGTATCGAGCAAGGAGTTGGGCTTGATGGCCTTCTACGCCCCTTCCAACTTCATGATTCTATGATTTTAGGGGGGGAAAAAGTCTAGAGCAGCCATTCCCTACAGGGGCCATATGGAGGGGGTCACATAACGGGAACGAATACTCCACACATCACCTTACAAGGTTCATTCTACGACTTACACAATCCCGATTCAGTCTATATATCTTATTGTGTTTATGGTCGTGGCTGGAAAAAAAGGTCAAGGACAACAGGTCTAGAGGACCTCAAGGGACCCACCTTGAGCGCGACACTAGCTGGACTTTGGCAAGAATCAGATGGACCTTAGAATATTCACATGAATAAATGCAGCCAGTAATTTCATGATGGGGTATAATAAGGAGCCAGGGTGTTGTTAGCTCTTGGTTAGATCTTTTCTTTATTTTACCTTGAAATCTTTGCCAGCCTCAAAGGGGAAGCGGGGTGCAGTTCGGTCCTCCTTCCCCCAAGTATTCTGAATCTTGGTGTTGCAAACGATAACCTTCCGATTGTCCTCGCTGAACCGCGGGTTAAAGTGCAAGGCGATGTCATTGCCTTTCATGAGGTCCACTTGAAACCTGCCGGGAAGAAGGAGATGCAGCTGAGTCACACACACCCCTTGAAAGCCTCCCCCAGGTTCCTTGAATGTTTCACAGCCAGCCAGGGGCGCGCTCTGGTTTGGGTGCAATCATTTGGACAGATCCACACAATCAGCGTAGGAAGGCAGAAGCACAGCTTTGGTCAAGATAACGTTGCATTCCTCCCCGGTAGGCGGAAACAGGACGGTCGTGTCTCTTTCCTCCACGCCCTCTCCCCACAGAACACAGGGGCTAAGTATCTAGTGCCACTCACCAGGCACAGAACTGCAGATGCAGAAGGTGTGGTGCCAATGGGGTCAGATAGAACAGCCGTGCGACCAAGCACATCACCCTCTACCTGCGTCTACATTTGCAGTTCTGCAAACAGCAAATGGAACAGGATACCGGCTGGTATTTGCACAGTGGCAGTGATGCTGCCGAATTGCCACTTGGAGGCTCGCTCTACCTACCTACCTACCTCCCTACCTACCTACCTCCCTACCTACCTACCTCCCTACCTACCTACCTCCCTACCTACCTACCTCCCTACCTACCTACCTCCCTACCTACCTACCTCCCTACCTACCTACCTACCTACCTACCTTCCTTCCTTCCTTCATCAGTCCATCTATCTTCCTTCCATCTATCCATCCATCATCCTTCCTTCCTTCCATCCATCCATCAGTCCTTCCTTCCGTCTGTCCGTCCGTCTGTCTATCTAACTGTCTACCTACCTACCTTCCTTCCATCATCAGTCCGTCCGTCCGTCCGTCCGTCCATCTTCCTTCCTTCCTTCCTTCCTTCCTTCCTTCCTTCCTTCCTTCCTTCCTTCCTTCATCTATCTATCTATCTATCTATCTATCTATCTATCTATCTATCTATCTATCTATCTATCTATC